TGTGTTTGTGTTTGTGTGGAGGCTTTAAAGGAGTAAACGAACTCTGCAAAAGACAGTACTTTGCAAAGGTTATGCGTCCGTTAATCATCACTAGGAGTGGGGAAAAAAGAGAATGCATAAGCTTTTGATGTTGTCTAAAAGTGGAACCAATCGAGTGGCTAGTTCCTTCTAGCGGCACTCAAGTCTCAAGCCTTTTCGCCTCAAGGAGATTAGTCATACATTTGATATATATGTAAGAGTAATCTAGAAGTATAAAACAGGAAAGACAAGGAGCAGACACAGATGTTAACCCGCGATTAGCTTTTGTGGGACGTATCGTAAGGAATCATAACTTATCAATTACCCACCCATTTATCGCTTATGCAGTACCCGATTAGAAATCATTCACAGTGAAGTGAATCATTCACTCGCATTATTGCTGTTTGTGCAACGGAAAGGAGGGAAGACGATTGGGGGGGCGATTGCGAGTCAACAGAGGAGTGGAATGATATCCCGCGTGGTCCCTCTGGGGCTGGGAAAACCACTCCTGCCTGAACACAGTTCATATCGCACCGCAGTAGCCGAACTTAATTCGAGCAGAACAACTGAATGAGTGGAAACGAGTCCAGATACTAGTAGGAGTGCGTAATGAATCACACAGACCAGATGCTGTCCATAATGAATTGAATCGATGAATGAATGGAATAGTCAATGTAGCAGATATTAACAAGCACGTTTTTCCATTGAAAAGATCTCTCTCTCTCTCTCTCTCTCTCTGTCTGTCTGTGTGTCAGATACAGATAGTTTTTCGCTAAGCGTCTAGCCGCCGAGATTCGCGTGAGTCATACACGACATTTCCATTTAAACAAATAAGTAAATGGCAAATGAACTTGTATTTTTTTTCCTTCCCTGTTTCCAATAAAGAAATAAAGAAACTTTTCTTACACTTTCATAATGCATGGGGGGGGGATTGTATTAGGGATTGTTATTCTTATCTTCTAGGAGATGGGAGTGCAGTACCCAGTACCCCAGCAGAGTCATCTGTAAATCCTAATGCACTTCCCCTCCGTTTGCTGTTCGGCTGAATCCAATTACTCGTTTACCCGGACTGAACCTCTATTATTATCACTCTCGAGCCCATGACCGGATTACGCATCCTCCCGTCTCTCGTTGCCAACCGATTTGTTTACCTTAGCATGTGGGGGGGGGACACCTGATCTGGTCATCCCATCAGGAACACATGTTCGGTGTTCGAGGATTATCAGCTCTTATCTCCTTCTGGCTGTCGTCTCTGGTGTTAATCTCTGGTGCCTGCGACCTCTGTCCGGGTCGCTGATTATCTCAAGGGATTGTCAGGGAAAGTTCTTATCCATTTTCCGAGATTTCCGCGATGATTTATTGCCCACCTTTCAAGCCTTTGCTTTGTTCAAAGTAAAGCCAAGAGCGGGGACCCAATGGGCTCTCAATAAAATAATAATTAATTTGTGATGTTTATTATTGATGTAAAACGACTAGCAGCTGCTGCATCCATCGATGTTCTGTTGTTCTGCACTTTGCCGTAATTGAATTTTTTATAGTATTTTGGCCCGTGCTCGGGCTTCTCCATCACAGGTGGCCCCTTTGTTGGTGGCGCCACTTGCCAGTGGCAGTGCCAGTGGCAGTGGCAGTGGCAGTGGCAGTGGCAGGGGCACACGCGATTTCTGGGCTAATGACAGCCTTGGCAGTGAAATGATGTTTTGTTGATGCTTCGACCACACCCAGAGAAAAAAGACCCGATAGCCGCGATATGCAAATGTATGCCGATATGTCTGCCGATATATCTGCACCGGGGAGTACAAATTCTAAAAAGAAAGTGTTGCATGTTACTATTAAATATTTTTGCTTTATATTTCGATTCAATATCAAATAAAAATATTAATTTGTAAATCCAAGTTCACTTTTCTCTCAGTGTACGAGTGTGTACGATAGAAGCAGTGGAAGGTCCCCAACCCCCACCTGGCGATTAAATGAATCAGATTTGCAGTGCATGCCCCCGCATGCCCCCACCCCCACGCTGCTGCCACAAGCCAACAATTAGCGGCAGAGGCTTTTTGTATAAACTGTAACTGGAGTTATGGGAGCACGATGGGAGGGAGAGGGAGAGCTCTAATTGCTGGTATTTTCCACAAATCCACAGACGACATTGTCGGGGCATGCTTCACTTCATGTCGCTACAGACTGTAATCACAAATGGGAATGTCCATAGCCGGGCGAAAGGGCTGCACACGAGTATGTCCACTTCCGGGCCGAGTCTTATGCAATCGGTTCGGTAATCGGATCCCAAGAAGAGCCGGCGCCTCTCTGGCCCTTGGCCCCCTTCGCACAGGTAGACTTGACCCTGTTTACATATCGGGGCTTGCTCGGGTTGCCCGTGTGGCAAGGGATTGAAATCGGAGGCGTACCCCAACCAGCGCCCAAGAGAGCCCTGAAAATGGATGCTTCTACGGATTCTGGATCAGGGATCATGGGTCGTGGATCGTGGATGATGACGCTTTTGTTGTGTTGTTTTGATCACTGATCACTGAATCAACACGAGTACAGTGAATATTTAATGATTCATTTGCTGCCGCTTCTGGTGGATTCCGTGCCTCCGAAGTGCGTATGCGGGGGCCTGCAATTGGGGGCAACAAAGGCCCCACGGCTGCCACAATCGCTGCTGCAGCGGAAATGTTTTGCTGCTGCTGCATGCTCTCCTCCTCCGTTTATCATTGAATAAACTGCAGAACAAATATGCAGCGAAATAAAAATAATAATAATAAATGCAATCACGGGGATGAGGGATGAGCAAGTGGCCTCCCGTCCAAACGCAACGGATAAACATAAACAATATATCTGATCGACTGGAAACTCTTGAGTTTGTCGTCTCGTGCTCCATTTCCCCTCTCTCTCTCTCTCTCTCTCTCTCTCTCATCCTCTTTCTGTCTCTCTCTCCTTCTCTGTCTCGCTCTCTCTCGTGGGAATTGACTTTGAATTTCGAATATTTCGGCATCTACATATGTATGTATTTTGATTGCGGCCAAAAACGGAGAGACGATTCCGTGCATTGCGATTCTGGCATCAACGAAAATAGATGCCCAAATGGAAGTGCAAACATCTCTGAGGGGAGGGGTGGAGTGTCGGGCGGGTGGCCGTGTGTCTTCTGTCAGTGTGTGATTGGATAATGCTTGCTGCTTGCTGCTTGCTGCTTTCTGCTCGATGGCTGCCCCCTAGAGCACGAGGTGCAGGCGTATCTGGAACACCAGCTCCTCGACGGTCTCCTTCAGGAGCGCCGCCAGGGACAGGATGAATCCCAGGAGGCTGAGGGAGAACAGCCAGGGCGTGGTCGTGGTCATGAGCACGGCAAAGAAGACGAGCGTCTCGTCGCCCCGGGCATTGGCCATGCGCCACAGCAACTGGCGCTGGATGGTGCGCAGCTTGAACTTGCTGTTCCACAATCGGAGGCGCCCACGGTCTTCTCGACCAGCCAGAACACCGCGCAGCACAGCATCTTCAGCACCAGCAGCACGACCTTGACCACAGCGGTCTCCAAGACGAGGTGGTACAAGGCCACCATGCGCTGACGGTGCTCCGGCTGCATTGTGGAGAGCACGACTGCGCCGAGGGACTCCAGCGGGGAGACCCTGAGGGAAGGGCCGTCGGAGAGCTCCTCCCACTCCGAGTCCGACTCGGTGCGCTCTATCGAGCTGAACTCGCTCTGGCTCTGACAGGAGCACGACTCCTCCTCTTGGTCCTCCTAGGTGGGCATCGAGTAGTCGCCCTCGTAGTCGCCCTCGTAGCGGCCGTCGGAGTACTCTTCGTGCGGGCCGTCGAAGTAGTCTCCGCGGCTGTCCGGAGAAGCGCCGCCTGCTGCTGCCGCTCACCCATCTGAATCCCCCATCGGAGGGAAGGTGGGGGGGTGTGCGCGACCTATTGGACCCATTGGGCGGGACAGCAGAGGACTGGTGTGGATTTGGCCTAGGAAGGGCATCGCATTGAGTCTATTCTTGCTGCTGCTGCTGCTGGTCGGTAAAGTCGAAGGATCCCATGGATCCGAAAATACCCCGCGAACGGGTGAACGGGGAACGTGGATTGGTAATAGTTGGATTCATCTTATTCCAGCACCTGTGAGGAAATATACATACGTTCATGGGCTTTGTTTTGTAGTTGTATTTGTATTTACTTTATGTTCCCCGTGCTTTCGATATTTGCTGCCGTTCTCTGTGTTGTGCCGCTTTCTCCAGATATTCGTACTGAATGATTTCCTGAGCCAGTTCTGGATTCTCCCTTCTTTTCAGGTCTCCCCCACCCCACCCCACCCCACAACGCCATGTTGCGCATAATCCTATTTGGGTGGCTGTTGGCCGGCCCGGCACTCCTGGTCCACTCGGAGCTCACAGAACTAGATGGCCCCAACATATGCAAGAGGCGGGAGAGGTAAGTACTCGTCGGAGAGACTAATCACAGGCACTCATCCATCTCCATCCATCTATCCCATCCACCCATAGCTACCCCGTTGAAGTTGTCTACACTGAGCTGCAGTCGTACCAGGAGCGTGGCTCCAACTGGTGCCTCACCATCCCGCCACGCTGCTCCACGTACCGCATCAAGAATCGGGTGGTAAACAAGACCAAGACAATCATGAAGAACCGCATTGTGCGCGACTGTTGCGGTGAGTCTCTCGGGAGTTTCGAGTCCCTACGTGCCCCGAGCCTGTATTTTCACGATCTACGATCTACATTCCAGATGGCTATGTGTCCAGCGGCGGGGAGTGCGTGCCCCATTGTACGGACCACTGCGAGCACGGCAGATGCATTGCCCCGGAGAAGTGCAAGTGCGACCATGGCTATGGCGGCCCTGCCTGTGATATAAGTTCGTTTAACCTTTGCTTCCCTTCCCTTCCTTTCCCTTCTCTTCCCCGATTAACCCTTTCGTATTTGTGTACAATGAAACGCCTTGGGGGTGGGGTGCATGTGGGGCCACCTCTGGGTCCCATTGCTTAGTCCTTTAAAGCCCTTGCAGAGTGCTCTGACAGAATCGGGGCTAGCCATGAGATATACATACGATATATTCCGAACACAAATGCCACAACAGGGGGACAAAACGTAGGACAATTTGGGAGTACATAATACAGAATACGAAGAAGGGACAGGACACACAACATGGACATTGAGGAGGATCTGGACGGCATGCCACCCATCAGCATCGGCACCTTCGGGATACCCAATGACCCGGAACTGCTGGACGAGTACGCGCTGTACCGTCCCTCGATAGGCACCCGGCGGCTGCTCAGCGAGAGGCATCGGGAGGTCTACGCAGAGGCCTTCATCGAGCACGAGCGCCTGGGCACCTTGGCCGATCTGTGCGTGCGGGCGCTGGCCAAGAGTCAGGGCACTGTGCACATCGCAGTGCCCGTGCGGGAGGACCCGCTGAAGCTGCGCATCCACTACGACTCCATCGACGTGGACCTGCCGCTGCGGGAGTGCTATTTCGTGGAGGATGTGCGCTACTGGCGGCGCGTGGTGCTGGCCAAGAGCACGGACAAGTCGCTGGCGCAAAAGAAGCTCTCGGAGTACGACTGGCGGGGCAAGGGCATCAGCATCAAGTACGTGGAGATAGTCGAGGCCTGTCCGGCGGCCTTCTGGCCGGAGAGCGAGATGGCCGAGCTGGCGGCACTCGTGCGGGAACATGTGCGCACCATGGACATCCGCCATCTGCAGTCCCTCTCGGAGGAGAGCTTCCAGCGCCACAAAGGGAGCAGCGACTCGGAGCCGGACGTCACGTCGGAGGAGTCTGAGGCCCTGTTTGTTTCTAGCGATGAGCGCAACACCTCCTCCGAGTGGACAGACGAGCAAGAGGGAGAGTGCTCCGAAGAGCAGTCCACAGAGCAGCCCGACCCGAAGAATCAGGCTAAGATCAACTTTAATAGAGTGGAAACGGAGGAGGAGCAGCCGGCAGGGGCAGGGGCAGGGGCAGGGGCAGTGGCAGGAGCAGCGGCAGTAGAAGCGGCAGTCGAAGGAGTCATGTACCTTCTGGATGACATCCAGGAGGCCAAACGCGTGGCGCGTGGTTCCCGCAACGCCGTGCGACAGCAGCTGCGGCGCTTGCAGGCCGCCAGGAAGGAGGCGCACGAGCAGCGGGTGCACCGTCGCACCGTTATGCGGCAGAGGCCCGCCGAGCAGCCTGAGAAGAAGCGCCGCAAGAGCAGGAAGACAGTGATGGGCGTCTTCAGTATGAAGGTGGAGCCCGAGCCGGAAGACGACGAAGATAAGATCGTGGACAGGCGAAACAAGGAGAAGGTGCTGGAGCGCCTCCGTCGCTACGACTTCCCCTCGGAGCACTGCCATCACATCGACCTGAGCTTTGTGCGCTTCTTCGATAACCTCGTCTCGTTCACCCTCGAGTTCCTGGGGCCACACATGGGGCGCGACTTCCACAAGCGGCACCTGCGGTTCTCCACCGAGGACGTGGTGCGGCTGGCCAGGGGCCTCCAGGAGCTCGACAAGCTGCAGATCTTCCGCCTGCGCAACAGCCGCATGGACCATCTCAAGCTGCACGTCCTCTGCCGTGTCCTCAAGAACCTGAAGGCCTTGGAAGTGATTGACTTTGGCTACGACCACATGTCCGACGACTGCGGGGCCACTTTGGGCTCCCTGCTGGAGGGCGGGAGCATGCTGAAGGCCCTGGAGCTGGAGTACAACCAGCTGGACCAGAATGCGGCCTCGGCCATTGGCGCCGCCCTGCAGCAGCGCCACCAGAACGGCGCCAGCGGAGATGCAGGAGGGACGCACCTGCAGTACCTTGGTCTGGCCCACAACCGAATGAGTGACCGGGCCCTGTCGACGCTCATCCACTACATTGCCGGCACCGAGCATGTGGAGGAGCTCAACGTGTCGGCCATTACGGCCCGCAAGGAGGCGGTGTCGGAGAGTATCGGCTTTTTGCTGCGCAACCATCCGCCGCTACGGCGACTGGACATGACGGCTATTCCGCTGAACAGCAGCACGGGTCGGAGACTCATCTGCGCCCTGGAGAGCAACCAAAAGGTCACGCACTTCGACTGCCGCGGCTGCGACCTGGACAGCGACGAGGAGTTTGAGGCAGATATCATAGTGAGGCGCAACGGCTTCCAAGCGGACCACTCCTACATCGGGGACGAGACCCAAACGGAGCAGGACATAAGGGAGCACTTCAAGAGCATCAAGCACCCGCTGGTGAAGAAGCTGGAGGACGAGCGCGCCCGCCGGGCGGAGTGCGTCAAGATGCGTCCCCCTCTGATCCGCACGCCCAGCGACACCACCACCGAGTCCCAGGTGTCGGAGAAGGAGGAGGCCGCCGAGTACGACATTTGGGCGGAGCTGGGGATCAAAACGGTCAAAGCCTCCGTCCCCCAAGAGATTGTGGAGTCGGTGTCCAGCCACAGCTCAGTGCTCGACCTGGGTCCCTTTCACTTCGATCCGAATAGCTTCGATTTGGAGCAGTTCCGGGAGCACGTCCAACAACCGGGAATGGGCAATCGCTACTACTACTTCAAGAGCCGCAGGGAAAAGCGCTGATCCAGCCCACTATCCCCTCTCCATTATCCATCTAGACATTTCTTATTTTTCTTGGTTCGATTTGAAGTCGATTGAAGTTTTCCATCAAAATCTAAAGTCGTTAGAAGACCGATACACAACGAAACATTTGTCAGACACTTTACGATTCATTGTGGGATTATTAAAGGATATTCCAGTTCGGAGATATGCACATAGGTTTTTTTTGGAAGCCAAGAGCCAAGAGGCCTCTCAAGTTGGCGGCACTGTCTCTGTAAAACCTCTGCAAGGGTATGCCATCTTCGGCCTGCCGATGATATGCACCTCTGTATAACTGTAGCCTAACTGTTCCTGCTATACTGCTATACTGTTATACTGTATATTCGATATTGTATGCGCTTTGTAGCTTGTAGCTTCTAGCCTTATTTGGATTTTTTTTTTTATTGTTTTGTGAATTGCAATCTTTAGTCTAACCAAGAGCACACATGCACACACACACACACACCCAATCCTCTTTCACACCTACCCCCACACACACACACACACGCGCAGTCCCCCCCGCAGGATCTAGAGGATCTAAATTCACACACGACACGCTCCGGGAGGAGAACTCCTGAGCGTGGCGTGGCTTAGCCGCCAGCAAAGCAAAGCAATACCAATACCAATAGCAAGAGAAAACAGCAAATAACTGTCGCAACATCCTGTCTAACGTCTAGTCCTGTTCTAAGAAAGACAGAGAGAGAGAGAGAGAGAGATTTAGATTACTTATATAACTTTTTGCACGCCAGATTGCCCACCTGGCTGGTACGGAAGGAACTGCTCGATGCAGTGCGACTGCCTGAACAACGCCCTCTGCGAGCCCTTCAGCGGGGAGTGCGAGTGCGCCAAGGGCTATACGGGCGCCAGGTGCGCCGATGTCTGTCCGGAGGGGCGCTTTGGCGCCAGCTGCTTGGAGGAGTGCCGCTGTGAGAACGGTGGCAAGTGCCATCACGTCTCGGGCGAGTGCTCCTGTGCGCCCGGGTTCACGGGTCCGCTGTAAGTGACCGCCAGATCGTGGCAAGAGAAACCGAGAGCCCCATACTAATCTCCCCTTCGCCCCCTCCCAATCAGATGCGATATGCGCTGTCCGGACGGAAAGCACGGGGCACAGTGCCAGCAGGACTGTCCCTGCCAGAACGACGGCAAGTGCGAGCCCGAGAGCGGGGCCTGCATCTGCAATCCGGGCTGGACGGGCGACGTGTGCGCCAACAAGTGTCCCGTGGGCAGCTACGGCCCCGCCTGCGAGCTCTCCTGCGAGTGCTACAAAGGAGCACCCTGCCACCACATCAGCGGAAAGTGCGAGTGCCCGCCGGGCTACCTGGGGGAGCGCTGCTTCGACGAGTGCCCCCTGAACACCTTCGGCCTGAACTGCACCCAGACCTGCAGCTGCGAGAACGACGCCACCTGCGACCGGGCCACCGGCGCCTGCATCTGCAACGCGGGCTGGCGCGGGGATCGCTGCGAGGAGCGGATCTGCGAGAGGGATAAGTACGGGCCGGACTGCAATCAGACGTGCGAGTGCGACATGGAGCACACGGAGCTGTGCCACCCGGAGACGGGACGCTGTCAGTGCAGCATTGGCTGGAGCAGTGCCCAGTGCACGCGCCCCTGCACCTTCCTGCGCTACGGCCTCAACTGCGAGCAGACCTGCAACTGCAAGAACGGGGCCAAGTGCTCCCCCGTCAACGGGACGTGCCAGTGCGCTGCCGGCTTTCAGGGACCAACCTGCGAGGTGAGCTGCCCCCCAGGGACCTTCGGCCAGGACTGCGCCCTGCGCTGCGACTGCCAGAACGGGGCCAAGTGCATGCCGGAGACGGGTCAGTGCCTCTGCACCGCCGGCTGGAAGAACATTAAATGCGACAGGCCCTGCGACCTGAACCACTTCGGGCAGGACTGTCGCAACGTCTGCGACTGCCACAACAATGCCGCGTGCAATCCCCAGAACGGCACCTGCACCTGTGCCGCTGGCTGGACAGGCGAACACTGCGACCGGAAGTGCGATGCGGGCAAGTTCGGCCACGAGTGCAGTCAGAAGTGCCAGTGCGATCAGCACAACAGCCTGGCCTGTGACGCCACCAACGGGCGCTGCATCTGCAAGCAGGATTGGGGAGGTACTATCTGGGACTCCATTTACCTTTCCACGCCCTTACGTCCTCTCACCCCAGATCATTAGTCTCATCCGTTCATGATTCAATAAAGAACAGCTGGAGCAGCTGGAACAGCTCCCAATCGAATCCCTGCAGGATTGCCCCTTCTAACAGACAGATCATAGCACTAACCGATTGCACTCATCCATCGCATCCCATCGCCCCTCCTCTATCAACATATCCACCTATCTATACATCATTTTGGCATGCATGTCGTTTGGTTTTACAAATTTTAATTCGCTTTTTCTGGTTTTGCACTGTGTTTCTGTTTCTGTTCCTGGTTTTTTTTTTTGTCGTCCTGTTGTCCTTGTCTTCTGATGCCCAACACCCAACACCCAAGGCGTTCATTGCGAGACCAACTGTCGGACCGGTTACTATGGTGAAAATTGTGATAAAGTTTGCAGATGCCTGAACAACTCATCCTGCGACCCGGACAACGGCAACTGCATCTGCTCGCCCGGCTGGACCGGGGTCGACTGCAACGAGCCCTGTCCGACTGGCTTCTATGGGATGGAGTGCAAGGAGCGTTGTCCCGAGATATTGCATGGTAAGTCGGAGTCGTGCAGGAATAAATCATCATTAATCCATCATTAATAATACACGTGCTCCCCTGCTTGGTAGGTAACAAGAGCTGTGACCACATCACGGGCGAGATCCTCTGCCGCACCGGATATATAGGCCTCACCTGCGAGCATCCGTGTCCCGCTGGACTCTATGGCCCCGGCTGCAAGCTCAAGTGCAACTGCGAGCACGGGGGCGAGTGTAACCATGTGAGTGGCCAGTGCCAGTGCCTGCCCGGCTGGACGGGGGCCAACTGCAACGAGTCCTGCCCCACAGACACGTACGGCCAGGGATGTGCCCAGCGGTGCCGCTGCCTGCACCACAAGGTCTGTCGCAAGAACGACGGCATGTGCATCTGCGAGACCGGCTGGACCGGCACCCGCTGCGATGAGGTGTGCCCAGAGGGCTTCTACGGCGAGCACTGCATGAACGCCTGCGCGTGTCCGTCGGCCAATTTCCAGTGCCATGCGGCGAACGGGTGTGTCTGCCGCAGCGGCTACACGGGCGAGAACTGCGACGAGCTGATTGCATCCCAGCGCATCGCCGAAGCCAGCGATGAATGTGAGTCCTACCTCAATGGATTGGATGCCCCTGGATCTCCCCTTATTAATCCTCTCTATCCTCTTACTTCCATGTGTTCTAGCAGCGGGACGGGCGAGCGTTGCACTCACGATAGTGCTACTCACACTCTTCGCCTGCATTATTTTCGCCGTCTTCTTATACTACAGACGCAGGGTGTCCAATTTGAAAACGGAGATCGCCCACGTGCACTACACGCATGAAACAGGAACCACCTGGCCGCCCAGCAACCACAACTTTGATAATCCCGTGTACGGGATGCAGGCAGAGACGCGCCTACTGCAGAACAATGCGCGGAAGATGAACAACTTCGATCAGAGGAGCACGCTGAGCACCGAATACGGAGGCGACGACTCCAATGCCAGTGGCAGAGGTAAGTGCGATCAGATCGATGTATGTCTATGGATGGTGGCTAACGATTAGATATGTCCATTCACAGTGGGAAGCTACTCGATCAACTATAACCACGATCTGCTGAACAAGAACCTGAATGCGGACCTAACGAATCCGAATGTGTACAATGATTCCCTGAAGGAGGAGCATGTCTACGATGAGATCAAGCACAAGGAAGGCTACAAGGATCCCGGTACGTTTGCATACTTTTTATTCCAGACTTTTCTCGACGCTTTTGCAACTAATCATGTATTCCACATTTGCATACATTTTGGCCAAAATCAGTAAAAATTTATAGCAAGATTTTGTTTCCGGAGGGTAAGCAATAGTTGGGCATCGATCCTGTGTATTTTAGTGATTTGTCTGACCCGTTTTCACTCCTGTCCATTGTCTAATGGGAACGCAAGTTTGTTAGTACTAAAACGATACCTTTTCTTATAATTTTCATAGGGGAATACGATCATCTGGACTACTCGCGACCAAGCACTTCGCAGAAGCCCCACTATCATCGCATGAACGACACCATGCTCAACATCAACCACGATGAGGAGAAACCCAACAATCTGAAGAACATGACCGTGCTGCTGACGAAGCCAGAGCCACCCACAGAGCCAGAGCCGCAGCACGAGAGCTTCGACAACACCAACATCGACAATGTGTCGACTGCTTCGCCCAGCTCCAGTCCGGAGTTCCGCAAATAAGCACCATACCACTTCTTCACTCTTCTCACAGTCACTCCACCATCCACGTGGAATATATTTTTTTAAGTTGCAACTAATGCGAACCATGATATTTTAAAGCGTCTGCATTTTAGCCTAATTTATTCGATAGCATTTTAGTTGTGTATTGTGTCTGTCTTTTTGTAGAATGAGCGTCTTTCATTCGATATGTAATTGTTTAATAGTTGGTCAGTTCGTTCAGAATATGTCATAGGAGTACGATTTAAGATCTGTATGCTCAATTGTATTTGTAAATTTTTATTTAGCGGGCTCTATACAACCCAGAGTGTCGGCCTCACTTTTGTAAATGTCTTTCGTTTTATACACACTTATGCTCATTCGATTCATTATCTAAACGACTAATACCCTAAGCGAATACGTATTCAAAATAGTACCTATACACCTCTTCCTGTTAAGAAAAGATTGTGCTATCATTGTGCACTGTACACTGTCTGCAGTAGAGCGTCTCCAAGAGAAGGTTCCCCCATATTGAAGGTTGCAATAATTTTAAATACGAGTAATATACTGCATATACAAATTGATATCAATAGCATGTTAAGCATATTTTTAGAACTGAATTCGAAGCGAAGTGTTGAAAACAATGGGAGAAACTATTTTGATTACCACGATATATTCAACATACTAAATGTCGATTTTAAGTGTTCCCAAATTGTATTTTGATTGTCTGTAATATAAAAACGATTGGCCAAAATTGTAATTAGCTCCGATTGGTAGATTTTTAGATCGAATATTTACAAGTAGCTTAAATATTGGTATTTTTTGAATACATCAAATTGTTTTCAATGTGTAATCCCAATCCCAATGCATCTTTTTATTCAAAATAGTTAAAAGATTATTGTTCATATACATAATCAGTCTTAGGAAGGCGAAGATATAAAATAAAACAATTATGAATATTTTAACAGAGCGTCAACTGAGATTCATTAAAAAGGTGTTTTTTCGTGATCGACCTCATTTTCGTAGTCGAGATTTTGATGCCAATCGACAGGGTTAATCCCCACTGTCCTGGGAAGGTAGGTCCTTCGCCGAACTAGCCCTATTTGCCTGAGATATAGCCTTCCGAAGATGTGGATTTCCGCATCATGCAAATACTGGTTTTTTCTTTAAGCTATATCTCAGCTATCCGGAAGGCGATCGGGGCGTGGCATGTCATTCCGTGACCGGAAGAGTCCTGCCAACCGATTGGCACCAGAAAAAAGGATATCCATTCCATCACGATTTTCGCAAAAAATCATGATGGTTACATCATTAAATTTGCCAAAAATCGGCGTCATTTTCGTGGTCGAGATTTTGATGCCAATCGACAGGGTTAATCCCCACTGTCCTGGGAAGGTAGGTCCTTCGCCGAACTAGCCCTATTTGCCTGAGATATAGCCTTCCGAAGATGTGGATTTCCGCATCATGCAAGCATATAGCTTTCTGTAAGCTATATCTCAGCTATGCGGCAGGCGATCGGGGCGTGGCATGTCATTCCGTGACCGGAAGAGTCCTGCCAACCGATTGGCACCAGAAAAAACGATATCCATTCCATCACGATTTTCGCAAAAAATCATGATGGTTACATCATTAAATTTGCCAAAAATCGGCCTCATTTTCGTGGTCGAGATTTTGATGCCAATCGACAGGCTGGGTCCTCACGATACTGGGAGACAAGGTCCTTCGCCGATCTGGCCCTATTAGGCTGAGATATAGCCTTCCGAAGATGTGGATTTCCGCATCATGCAAATACTGGTTTTTTCTGTAAGCTATATCTCAGCTATACGGCAGGCGATCGGGGCGTGGCATGTCATTCCGTGACCGGGAGAGTCCTGCCAACCGATTGGCACCAGAAAAAAGGATATCCATTCCATCACGATTTTCGCAAAAAATCATGATGGTTACATCATTAAATTTGCCAAAAATCGGCCTCATTTTCGTGGTCGAGATTTTGATGCTAATCGACAGGCTGGGTCCTCACGATACTGGGAAACAAGGTCCTTCGCCGATCTGGCCCTATTTGCCTGAGATATAGCCTTCCGAAGATGTGGATTTCCGCATCATGCAAATACTGGTTTTTTCTGTAAGCTATATCTCAGCTATACGGCAGGCGATCGGGGCGTGGCATGTCTTTTCGTGACCGGGTGAGTCCTGCCAATCGACTGCAATCGGAAAAGTCCAATTATCAAGTTGAAATCAAAGCAGCATTTTCCAAGTCTTCGTAAGCCATACCTGTATGTTTAATTAAAAATGAGTGAGATACTTTCACTGACAATAGAACTTTACCTTATTCATAGAATGCTATATGTCCTGCCACCAACCATACAGTATACAGATGTGGCAGGTTATGCACCGAAAATGTCGCAAAGAGCTGTCTGGATTAGATCCCAGGATCTGCGGCTCAAGCTTTCGGCTAACGCCGCGTCATCAGGAGACAGCCATGACGTCAAAAGAAGTACGCTGGGCTTCAGCTTCGAGACGCGTAAGTGAATCAGTATATAATTGTGGGCATTTTTTAAAAATATATCTTCCTTCAGAGTGGACTTATGTAGCCGACGCTTTACCACAAACCGAGTCGTACCCGATTTCCCCCGGCCAGACGGAGCGCTTCCAAGCATTACCGATGAGCATTCGAGACAGACCGAGACCTATCCCGGCCAGACAGAATCGTATCCCAGCAGGACAGAAGCGCACCCCTTGCAAGATCTGAACGCGGACTACTAGACTCTAGATAGATCTCGTTGCTGTTAGTTTTAAGGATATAAATGTTTTCCACTTGTTTATATATTTATACTAGGCTAAGTTATGATGAATAAAACTATTGAAAAATCATCCTTGCTGTATCCTGTATAGGCGTGTCACGCCCCGATCGGTTCACAAATAGCGTAGAAAACCAAATATTTTTTGTGTGGGGAAAATGTCCTTGATCCTTGAAAAAAGACCCATTAAATCAAGGACATTTTTCCGATCACAGGAAGCCGTCTCACGTTTCTATCGGGCCACAAATAGCCCAGAAAACTAAGTATGTAGAGTTGTGTTTGTTGGAGTCCTTACCGAAGGGTCAAGGGCATTTTTCTGATCCCGGCGGGCCATAGCACGAACCGATCGGGCCACCAACAAGGGAGAAAACAAGATGTTTACATCTGGAGAAAAAATCCTTGATCCTTGGTCCTTGATAAGGAATGTATTAGATCAAGGATGTTATTCCTAACACAGGAAGCCGTCGCATGTCCCGATCGGGCCACAAATAACGGATAAACCAACAACAGTTGTTGTTAACAACAACAGAACAAAAATTTGTTGTACAACAACTTTCAACTTGCGACTGCTCAAATGGCCAAAAACGAGAGTTTCAAGTCTGGGATACCAGGCGAACAGAAATCAGTAGAACGTCGCTGGATTTTTTAAATTTTTTCCCCGCCATTTTTCAAGACCCAAAAGTATGCAACGTTTTGTGAAAATTTTTAACGGCCAAAAAAAATATGAAAAAGCGGTAAAATAAAATTAAAAGAAATTTAAAAAAACTAGCGACCTTCTGCTGATTTCTGTTCGCCTGGTATCCCAGATCTGAAAATCGAAAAATCGCGTTTTTGAGTGGCCCCAAATGGAAAGTGATTGTTGTTGTAATAACTGGATGTTGTTGTTGTAATTTGTTGTTTATGGCATAAGTCCGCCATTTCTTGTCGGATCGGGACTTGCGATGGCTTCCTGTGATCGGAATAGCTTTCTTGATCTAATGCATATCAAGGACCAAGGATCAAGGATATTTGCTCCAGACATATATATCTTGTTTTTCTGCTCATTTGTGAGCCGATCTATGCGTGCCATGGCCCGCCGTGATCAGAAAAACTCCTAGATCCTTCGGTAAGGACTATAGAAACCCAAACCATACATATCTAGTTTTCTTGGTTATTTGTGGGCCGATCTAGGGGAGCGACGGCACCCTGTGGTCGAACAAATGTCCCTGAATTAATGGAGTCCTTTTCAAGGATCAAGGACATTTTCCCCAATCAAAAAATATTTGGTTTTCTACGCTATTTGTGAACCGATCGGGGCGTGACACGCATTTTTTTAATCGGAATAGATTCCCCTATACAGGATACAGCAAGGATGATTTTTCAATAGTTTTATTCATCATAACATAACCTAGTATAAATATATACACAAGTGGAAAACATTTATATCCTTAAAACTAACAGCAACGAGATCTATCTAAAGTCTAGGAGTCCGCGTAGTTCCTGCCTTGGTTGCCATGCCAAGGTCCTTGAGATAGTTGTCGATGGCCAGGTCGAAGGATGACGATGGCTTGTTAGGTTCAGATCTTGCAAGTGGTGCGCTTCTGTTCTGCTGGTGCTAATCGACAGGGTTAATCCCCCTGTCCTGGGAAGGTACATAGGTCCTTCGCCGATCTGGCCCTATTAGGCTGAGATATAGCCTTCCGAAGATGTAGATTTCCGCATCATGCAAATACTGGTTTTTTCTGCAAGCTATATCTCAGCTAAACGGCAGCCGATCGGGGCGTGGCATGTCATTCCGTGACCGGGAGAGTCCTGCCAACCGATTGGCACCAGAAAAAAGGATATCCATTCCATCACGATTTTCGCAAAAAATCATGATGGTTACATCATTAAATTTGCCAAAAATCGGCGTCATTTTCGTGGTCGAGATTTTGATGCCAATCGACAGGGTTAATCCCCACTGTCCTGGGAAGGTAGGTCCTTCGCCGAACTAGCCCTATTTGCCTGAGATATAGCCTTCCGAAGATGTGGATTTCCGCATCATGCAAGCATATAGCTTTCTGTAAGCTATATCTCAGCTATGCGGCAGGCGATCGGGGCGTGGCATGTCTTTTCGTGATCGGGAGAGTCCTGCCAATCGAATAATTATCCAATCATCTCCACTAATGCACTACCGTAGCTCATAAATCAATAAAAAATAAAATAAGAAAAACCAAATTTTTGTTTTCATGCAATGCAGTAGAATTGCAACCACATGGCGGCGAATTTATTTATGATGAGGATGGGGGTCTGTCAGGGCCCCTTTACGCCATCACAAGTTTGGGACTAAAAATAGTATAATGAATTCCTCCCTTCAGCAAACTTCCTGCCCTGGTCCTCCTGACAAACAGTTCGCACAGGGTGTCCTAGCGTGCTACTTCCCATAAATATGTCTCCCGGCATTTGGGGACGGGACAAAATATGAAAGGCCTACGACACACAACCTCCAAGTGAGTGTGCCTCCATCTGTGTGTGCAGGCGGCAGAAACCCGCCAGGATGAACCGAAAAATGTTGACAGCCGTTCAACGTACACATTTTGCTGTGAACCTGTTCGTTTGACTTGTTTGATGGTTTTATGAGTGTCAAAACTTGACAGCTTAATAGACATTTTTATGGCAGGCAATCGCACTTTCATTGTTATTGGGGAGAGAGATACACAGGAGAGGGTGAGGGAGAGAGAGAAGGGAGCACGCATGTACATACATATACAGCGATGGTATGTTGGTCGTCGTTCCTGCCCCATAGAAAGCAAGGGATGGATGCTGTAAGCCCCGCTAGCGGCGAAAAAGCCTTTGCAAGCACACACACACCCCTCCAAATTCATACTACCCAGTGGACAAAAACTTCGTAAGCGATATGTCAATTGCGATTGTGCACAATTTTAAAATAATATTTACTACGGATTGCTAGGGCAACGCGCAAGCCCCTAATACATTTCCTGGCCTCTGTGCCACGCCAAGAACACTGTCGTGCGACCTTGTCCGCAAGAAAGATGGTGCCAAGAGCTACGAATCCATTGGTCGAACGCTTCCTCGCTGGACATCTAAAGCTCTGAGATCTGTACAGAATAGTAGTAGTAAGTAAAGTAAGTAAATTAGTAAAATTTATCTCGTGATTTTCATGCAAAATACTTACCCCATTTTTAAAGTCCCGCTCTTCCAGCAAACTCTGTTCAAAGCTGTCCCGTTAGTCGATTATCTGGAATGGTTCATAAGGGTTTCACAAAGCTTCGACTTGGTATCTGAAATTTCTAAGCGAAGAGCCACAATTTCCGCTGTCTTGCGATGAACTTTATTTAAAATAAGGTACATTTTTTGTATACATCTTATTTAGTTTGCCTAAGATAGCTATAATTAGAAATAGTTGTTAAATATTGAGTTGGACAATATAAAAAAATGTTCTTACATGACTGCTGGGTGTTTGGGAAATCCTCATCCGCTAAATGCTCTTTTCATAGTCCGTCTGCGAACATTTAGCGAGACTTCAGTCATCGCTCTCGGATTTGTATCGTTTCTTAGTCCGTTCGCGAACATTTTATGTAAGTTTTGTTTTACTATCGTTTTTTGGTCCGCTGGGTATGTACATCTGTATGTATGCGTATGTACATTCTACGCATAAGCAGAACCTCCCCAAAAACAACAAGCAAAGGGACGTTTTGTTTGTTTACAGTTATTTCGTATCGAATTTTCCCTCTAGCTGCGCGACATCTTTCCTTGCTTTCTGTGCACCTGTTCGCATATTGTTTTTTGTTGTAGCTTTGTGTGTGTGCGTGAGCCAACAGCTGCGAGAGTGGAGGGTGCATTGTGCGGCACCCCATTTTGTCGAGTGCTGTACCATGACATGCAATTCAGCCATGCCTGCCTCATTCCGGCGAAGAAAGTTGCGAAGCTCATACTATACGTGCTGCAAAACGAAAAATTTTTGATTTAATTTATATTTTTTTTTTGTTAGTTATGTTCTAATTGTTGTTCTGAATTTGCAGTTATTGTAACCTCTTTCCAGCTAATGGTTTCTCTACATCTTATAGTATCGACTCGGCCATATAGGGTCGGAAACGCTTTCTTCTTGGTGTTGCACACATCCACCTCCACTCGGGTATAAAATCCAATTTAGGCGCGTAAAAAATGATGGCTGAGGGAAAAGGTAAAACTATACATATAATTCTTAAAATAAATACCTTAAACAAATTGTATCGTATTTAATATGATTTAGGCTTAAATGAAGGCTTAAATCAAGAACGAAAAACGTAAAGAAAGACAAGCTTACTGCTGTGAGACTATAAGCTGGGCGCTAAGAATCTATAAGACGGCGGCTGTCAAAGCTAGCTTGTATGAAACTATCAAAGCTGGCTATCAACAATTGGTAAAATTCCACAATATTTCCATGTAGAATAAAATAATGCACGTAGAGCTAAAATATCAAATAACCATTTCTAAAAGCAGCACAATTTTAATAATATTGGTTTTTGTCTATTTCAGTTAATTTCATTGGAGGATAAGCTTAATAATACATGTTGCGCCCAACAGCACACTATGTGCCTTAACAGCACTCTAGCAACTGCATTCATGGCGCCTTATAGCACAGAATTCAGTGTTTTCATATACAAAAAACAGTCTGTTGCCAGTTGGCGGGAAAAGAAACAGGCAGAAGAATCGTTTCTTCTGGGCCAAATGAGATGGCGGATCACAAGCAGATGATTATAGGTGGCGGCGATGACGACGAAAGACGGTCTTGCCAGTCGTGTGCTCCTGATGCTGCTGGGACGGTGGGAGTCCCAACCAAATTGCTACGGTAGCCGCTTGCTGTTGGATCTGGATGAACGCGGGTGGTGATGGTGTCATCGAGTTGAGTTGAGAAATTCCTCATTGACACGGCCACCGAGACCTGGGACGAGCAGAACAAAAAAGGAAGACCGAAAAGGGAGGGGCCGGCTCCGACGATATTTATAAACCAAGTATTTGGTGTTTTGATTCTTTCAGTTTTTGGATATTATTAGAACTATTATGGTCATTCTTTATGATTCTGCGTTTTTAGTTTTCTCGTATATTCAAAATTGTTGATGCTATTTTCGTCCTTTGTGGAGGCGAAAAGGCATGGCAAAATTTTGAAACAACTTGATTCAAATCACAGGAGTCTCTGAGAGCTAGGAGTCAAAAAAGTCGGACGGACATAGCTTTATCGGTTCGGCTATTGACGGCGGTCAAGAATATATATACTGTATGGGGTCGGAAACGTTTCCTTCTGACTGTTACACACATCCACTACCAACACAAAAGAGTAATCTACAGATCCATATAATGATGATTTCAAATCAGGGTGCGAAGGAGAAGGTGCTGCACATGCTGTACGTGAGCTCGTTTGACCTGGATGTCATTCCAGCTGGCCCTCAAGTGGGGCACAGTCTGCTGATCTCCGTCATCCCAATGGTGGCAAGCGAAAGGAGAACCTCCAGGAGAGATCGTCCTCCGCTGAGCTCGGGTCGCTGAAGGGCGGTGTCATGGTGGTGCATCTGGATGTGTCATGTTCATTACAAGATGAGATCGTAGGAATCAAGAGAACAGTTGAAATAAAATCTTCGAGTACCGGATACAAAAAGTATTGAGATTTTGATGCAGATCCGACGCATCTACGATCAGATCTGAAGAGTTTCCGCATATTCTGAAATTTATTTAGAGCATATGGCAAGGGATACATTTTATGTCTACATATATTTGTGGAAAATAGGACAAGCCAGACCAGACGCGAGATTGTGGGGAAACCAGGCAGTGACGTAGCCGAAGTTCTGACTATTCGGGGCATGGATTTCACCCACTTCATGCCCCATGTGCTCTGGACTGGCATGTTGGCCAGCAAGCGCACCTAAGAATTGCTCAGAAGCTACCGTGGAATACCTGGGAATACCTATGCTCAAGGCAGCGAGCATGCATGCTCGAGTGTTATTTTCTCCACAGGTTGGAGACGGATCCGTGCATGTGTGTGTGTGTTTGTTTATCTGATTCCATGGACACAACACGCAACGCATCGCATTATAGCTGGCTAGAACACATATGCAGCTTCTGCGGCGTCTTCTCCGGCTCTTTCGCTTCCCACTCCATCTGCGATCGCTATCCATGGAAAACCACTATACGGCTTTCAGTCGGGCGTCGCCCTCTCCTTTGTCCACGAGCACGCTGGGATCTGCTCTAGGCGTTTTATTTCGGCTTTTTCCGATAGCGCATTTACAGTTATTTCTAAAAAACAATAAAATACAGGCATCGGCGTGGAAAGCGCTACATATGTATGTATGTATACGCCAACGATCGGACGTTCGGGGATCGTGTTCGTGTTCGGGTTTCTGTATGTGGCAAGTTCAGATAGGCGATCCCGATGTTCTTTCTGTGCTATATTTTGGAAAACGCATCCGCGCAGCGTCGTAGTAGGTACGAAGATTCCACGGAGATCGGCTCGTGAGATTGTGATCAGATCAGATACGGATCGAAATTTAAACAGAAAGCAAACAGCACCAACATGAGCAGCGTCGTAAGGCCCCACCAAAGCGTTTCGCCTCAATGGGATATTAATTGAGTGTGTTTTTTTTTTTTTTTTGATTGAACCAGGATGAAGATCTTACCCCCGAGCAGATTGCCGTGCTCCAGAAGGCATTCAACAGCTTCGATCACCAGAAGTCGGGCTCCATTCCCACTGAAATGGTTGCTGATATCCTCCGTCTGATGGGTAAGTGCGGAATTGGCGATTGGGAGTCCTGTGATGTCACCTTAACACCTAACATTGTCCCATTTGATTAATTTGTAGGTCAGCCCTTCGACAAGAAGATCTTGGAGGAACTGATCGAGGAGGTCGATGAGGACAGTAAGTGATCTAAAGTTCAGAAAATATGAGTGAAAATATGATTCATTATCGCCTGGCCAGTATTGATGATCAAATTTCACTTAGTCGGTGTCAGTGATTTATTATCATCGTAAACTTGCGCCCGATCATTAGCTGTATTTTCGACTCGGCTCCGGCAGTTTCCAGCAGTTTCGGCAGCTAATTATACATATATGAATCTGTTTGACTTTTGTAGAGTCTGGTCGCTTGGAATTCGGTGAATTCGTGCAGCTGGCTGCCAAATTCATTGTGGAGGAGGATGCTGAGGCCATGCAGAAGGAGCTGCGTGAGGCCTTCCGCCTGTACGACAAGCAGGGCAACGGCTTCATCCCCACCACCTGCCTGAAGGAGATCCTGAAGGAGCTCGACGATCAGCTGACCGATCAGGAACTCAACATGATGATTGAGGAGATCGATAGTGATGGTTCCGGTACAGTGGATTTCGACGGTGAGTCGCGGCCTCCACACAGTATTTTCATTCATTCTAGTGGCTTGCGTTTCGCTGCCCCACCCCATGCATATATACACCCACACCCACATCCACACCCATTCACCCAACACAGCCAACCACCCACACAATCTGGCGATCATAAATTCGATTCTGATCATTGGGGCCAGCTGAGGATGAAAATGATGATGGTGCTGCCGATGCTGGCGATGCTGGTGGTGATCTTGAGATCGCTCGATTATGACAACTTGATCACATCTCTCATGGAGCATATCGCTGGCTATTTTTAGGCGCGACATACAAATTCGATTCCGCCGTCCGAGTGGCACATCATTTCCATACACATTTCTCGCCTCCGTTTCATTATATTCCACTCTCGTGTTTATGGAATTCGAGTATTTATTTTTAAATGCATATAGCGGTTGTTATATGCGCCTCTGGCATCGGTTTAATGTCTGTCATTTTGTTTAATTTACAGAATTCATGGAGATGATGACCGGCGAGTAAATAGACGCACTGCGTCTTTTGCCCACGCCCACGACCACGCCCACATCCACGCCCACCAACACATACACATACACAGGCCCAGACACACACACTTACACACACCCGCGTCCAAAACACACCTATACACCTGTTGGGCACACGTTTGACTGTTTATATTTGCACACTTGTTTCACCCCCCCCGCTCCTACCCTGTATTATCTTGTGTTTCGGTCGGAGGTGCAAACAAATCCAACAAAATAATGCCAAATACTAGTAGAAATATAACTTTTGTACTACTTTTTTATACTAAAAGAGCAGCAACAACGGTATGCTGTGTATGCAAAAAATAAAGTGTTATGCTATAACAACAAACCACCAACCTGTTGTCTGTCCACTTCTTGCAGCCGCTAGCCCAAAGCCACAGTCCGCCAGCCGCCAGCCGCCAGCCGCCAACCGCCAACCGACAACCGCCAAGCAACCGTCGAGCTGTTGAGCAGCAGCTGAAGAAAGCTGCCGAAAGCTTCCACAACTTTTAACCACGTTAACTCTACAAGTCTACAAACGAGCATTGGCCTCGGACGCCGCCGTCCGCCGTCAGCCGTCATTGTTGCCGCTGCTCTTGTCGCTATCGTTGCTGTTGCCGTTGCCGTTGCCGTTGCTGCTGCCATCGGCTCCGCTGCCATTGAGCGCTCAGCGTAGAGCGTACGTACCGCTTGTGCTTGTGCTTCTGCTTCTGCTTCTACCTCCTACCTCTTCTTCTACTACCAACCAAACGGAACAAAACCCAAAGGGGCCACAAATTTTCCCGAACAACAGCACCAACCAGCACCACCAACAGCACCAACACCCCGCCGTGCCTTTGACATTGTCTCGTGATATATATACATATGTATATGTATGTTTGTATGTACGTAGTACGCGCCACAAGTGTTTGCAATTGATAAAGAAGCAGCAGTACGAGTATCTTCATCAGCAGAGCAGCAGGAGTACGAGGGGATCACCATCCGTCCAGTCATCCATCCAATATGCCGCAGAGGTAAAAGAAAGTGCTCCAGTGCCCACCGTTATTTATATAATAACAACTCTGTTCTGTTTGTTTTGGCCAAAAAGAATGTGAACGTGCTAAAAGCAGCCGCCGCCACCGCCGGAACGGTCGTGCCTATAAAATTTATGATGGCATAAATGCTTTAAAAGCCCCAGTCAATCCGATGCGATACTCTTGTTTGTGGCCTTTTCATTTTTCTTGACATTGGCTTATCAAATAAATTATAAAACAAAAATGGACCTGATAAACGGCTTGGCTGTTGTAAATTTGTGCGTGTGTCAGTGCGAGCGAGTGAGTGATTGAGTGAGTGTGCATGTGTGTGTTGGCCAGCATTTGGTGGCTCGATAAGCTGTTATTTTTTGTTTTTTGGGCAGGCAGTTGATTTTGTAATTCTTGCCATGTCTGAAAGAGTGCTGACACGCGCTGCAGCCGCGAAGCGAGTGATTCAATGCAATCCGATCGGACCCGTCCCGTCTCGTCTCCGCACGGCGCGGAGCGCAGCGGAGTGGATCCGATTCGATGGGAACCCCGCCGTATATGCATATATGCATATATGCATGCGCTTGCGAATGCAGTTCGTTCGAATCGGGTAATCGGGTAAATTCTGCAGTTGTTCGGCGGAAACCAGACGTCGACGTCAGCGCAGAAAGCTGTGGGACGCCGTGTGACGTGAGTCACACAACAAATACAACAACAGCTGCCGTGTGCCAATTAGCACCGGAGTTTGAATCAAATCAAGCCGAAATCTAACGCAAACTCAATTCGCCAACGCAAACAAATCGAAATAATTTTAAATAATAACAGTACGTGGTCTTCCTGCGCTCTCTACTTGTTTTTTTCAGCCCCACAACGAATTGGTCGTTCCAGCCGCTCCACCGCCAGCGCAGTGGCAGCGGGTACCACCAACATGTCCTGAACACGGTGCCGGAGACGGCTATGCTGACAACGCCCCCGCCAATCCGTAAACGTAAGTACAAATTTTTGAATTTCAAACAGTCACAACCGAGTGTCACAGCAGTCAGCTTGCAGCAGCCCATCGGTGACATTTCAGTGCGTTAACAGCACGCACATAACAGCGACATTGCAGTGCTTCCACCATGGTTGCCAAATCAGCTATTTTATAGTCAGATCTGACTTTCTTGAAAAGTTAAATGTTTAGAACAATTTTTAAAATTCTATTTGCTAATAATAGTATTGGCTCGTTATCTAGAACACAAAGCAAAATTTAGCAGTCCAATTTAGCATAGTCAAAAAATCACGATTTCCAGCTGATTGAAATTTTTAAATTGTTTAGCAATAAAACTAGCTATAAAATAGCTGGTTAGGCAGCCAAAGTGCTCCCACTCAGTTTCGCACGTTTATCAACACTAGCGCTTTCAGTATTTTAATTAAACAACAACAACTAAAATAATAACAAAATTTACAGCGCTCACAATACAAATTGCTGGCGTTGCTGAGAACAAACGCAGATACATCCCAGCGCGGAAAAAGCCGAAGAGCGCAATGAAAATGCTCGTGGACACGGAGCGGGAGGAGGCCCTGAATCTGGTACGTAAATTAAAAAACCATGACAACGATCGACGAGACGGACGGACTGACGGACGGACCGAGTGCCGTTGCCGAAATGTAGTGCAATTAATCGGGTTAATCATTGTGCGTGCCCCTATAGAAACTTATTGATTATTGATCGATTCTATGTCTGCTTTTCCTTCGTTCCCTCGCAACCCTCCAAATGCTGACTATTGATTTGTTCACGGAACGTGCCATTGTCTGGTGGGACGACTACGACCTATTTCTGTGGCGGTGGTTGGGTGCTGTGCTGTGCTGTGTTGTTCTCTGCTCTGTTGTATGACTCTGGCGCTATCGCAAAACATACGAACAAACCCACAAACAAATATGCAAACATTCCCGCCGCAGCAAATTGAATTCGAATGGGTGCTGCGGCAAGAAGTACACGCGATATTGAAACAACTGCGAACCATTCTGGTGGTAAGTACTATGCAAAGCAACAACTCCGAGAGATAGCTAATCTCGCACCCATTCCAAACCGGCCCATCGCACCTGTGCCCCACTGGAGGAGTGTGCGCATCGATTTCCTGTGCCGCTCTACGAAAATGAGGGAAAGAAGACTGAAAAGTTCATACTCACCGTGTCGCCCGATCAGCTGAAGGCGGTCCTAACCCTAACGGGCGATGCCATAACACAGGCGGTAAGTTTAGTTTATCACGATACGATGTATCTATGTATGACTAATCGTGTGTGCTTGCAGGATATTAGCTTTAAGCTGTGCAAAGCTCCAAGCCAAACGCAACGTACCTCAATCACACAAGACTCGCCATGGAAGCTGCAGCAGGTTCAGGATGCCGCTAATCATCTACAGACAGCAATCAATCACATTGACGACGTTGATGACTCTTATCACTTCAAGTGAGTCACATTCGACATTGTTTTCGAGATGCGAGGTTATTAATACTCATTTCCTCATGCTACACACGACAGAACCTCCGATGAAGTACTGCATGTGATAGGCAACATTCTGGATGCGTTGCAGCGGGGCCGCAATAGTCTGCTGGTGCCTAAGAAGAAGCCGATCGACGAGCTCATCAAGGGGCGAAACATGAAGTCGCTGGTGCCCAACCTCCCCGAGGATCTGGCGGTCAGCTTCTATTTGCAAAGCCACAAGCTCATCATTGCGGTCTATCAGCTGCTTAACAACCAGGGCACGATGCGGTTCGACTCCCGGCAGGCCGAGGCCTCTGTACAATGGCTTAACGATGTGCTGCTGCTGCTGATGAATGGCCAGAAACTGTGCCAGCAATTAAAAGACAAGGTAAAGTGTTCCGCTGGGGAGATCCCCTAGAATGAAAGATACGGATAAGCACATCAATTACTTCATTTTGGGAATTACGTTGCTCTGATAAGGACGTTTGCTCTTGAACTGATAACTCATTGGCATCGTCATCGTCATCTCCCGACCCAGTAGAGCACAGTAGAGCACATGGTGTGCCATTTTCGGCACCCACAAGATGCTGCCAAGTTTTATTTAGTTGTTGGCCGCCTGCCAGGGCCGTGCTGCAGTTCTGTTCTTGACTGTGACGCAAGTCGGCAATTAAAGTGGCCCATATGAAGATTGGCAACTATGGCAAATTGAGGGGATGGCATGCGATGAAAATGGATATGGATATGGACATAGGAACATGAGTTATTTGTGTATTTCTAATTTGACATTTCAACTCTTCCGCAGATTTCTGTGTTTTCGGTGTATAAAGATTTCACAGTCGGCTCCCGGTCGCCCTCGGCATTGTCGTACTGAATTTCAGGCTGGCAGACAGGATAGCAGGCTGGAAGGATACCCTAGATACCCTAACCGAAAACTGTGGAATGGCGACAAAAAACAATAACAACAATAATAGCTAATAAAGAATCGTACGTGTAATAGCAAAGTAAATAATGTTAGTTGAAATGTTGCTACTGGAAACGGCACGCCCATAATAGCTATGCGTACTATATACATATACTTGAAAGCATACATACATATATACTTCTATATACACATATACACGACAACATACAGCTAGTTTAATGTACACAATCAGCATTCATGTTATAATACTATTACTATTACTATAACTATAACTATTACCATACCATGGAATTTGAGTTGAGTTCAGAATTCATCGCTTCACGTCACTCCAATTATGCATCAAAATGCATCTAAATAGCATTAGAATGATAAATGAAAACTGAGATGTGTTTTTTTTTTGTATATTTAACTATTGAAATTGATAGATAATTATAGTCTATTCATATGTGTAATCTGTAATCTGTAATCTAATGTTAATTTACCCCGTATCCCACTATTTATGTTTGCCCGCGCAATGTAATCAATGCCAGCAGTGCAGTCAATACAGTCCAGTCGTACAGTACTTAAGAGGGAGTTACTTATCTACAACTATATACAGCCGCATATAGCATATATTGCATATATGAACTTACATTTACATTGGCATTTACATGATATTGCTGTAATAAACCAAACCGAAATGTGAACAGAATTTTTAATTGTACTAAACACCGTTTTGTATTCGTATTTGTAATCGTAAACGTAACCGTATTCCGTATACCTGTTGTATATCTGTTGTTAATGGTTAAGTGCACCTAATCCTAAACTCTAATCCTAACTCGTAATCCAAAGTCATTTGTATCGACGGCCTTTTACTTCTCGTTTACCCTAATGTTTGTAACCTGAAGAGTTTGTAAAGAGAGAAACGCAACGAAAACAATTATAACTGTACTTATTGAACATTGCAATTGCCTATGCACACCCCACGATGCCTGGGGAAAACAAAATGAAGACAACTATTTATGTAACATTAAGCGTACTTACTGTCCACACCCATTTAATTGTTGTTGAATAAAAATTACATTTTACCAGCATTTTCAAGTTTTTACCTGGTGCGCGCCCATCGATCGACATTAGCGATCGATAGGAAAGCGGTGCTACCTATCGAAAGCTCATGAAAGCTCACCTGTGGATCTGGCTCTGGCTGTGGCTGGCTGAGAGTCTGTTTTCGGCCATCAGACATTTCAAAGTCGGCAAGCAGACCGTTTGGATTGTTACTTTTATAAGGCATATTATCTCGTGGTAAGCGGAATCTCCGATTTTGGAGTTGGTTTAATGGTACTTCAACCTGTGGATTGTTAGTATGTTGCCGTTTTCAATGGACTTCTGTACTTGCACTAATAGTCCATGTGCCTAGATCAAGTGCTTTGACGTTTGCATGTCGAAATAGACATGGAAACCAGTTCGTAGTAATTATTGTGCTGCATGTGTTGTAACCGCAGAGCCGGAGCCGGAGCCAGCCCAGCCAGCCCAGCGTCAGCATTAGCGCATTTGTTCGATGTTGCTGCTGGCTTTCTGCCGCGAGTGTTTCATTGGAGTCTGCACAAAAGAAGTTGCTGGCCTTTGGACTGCCGTGCTGCTGTGCTGCTAAACAAATCACATAAAAATGTTGACCGTGGCCGAGTAACACACAAAGAGGAAATCGAAAGCTCAAAATGAACGTTAGAGGAAAAGTGATGATATGCATCTTGCATGTCGTAAAAGTAGATGCCGAATAAATCCAATTTTCCCCCCATGATAATGAGAGTAATCCGGCAGACAGAGCATGAAATAATTATGCGAGCGAGCAATACTCGTATATCACCTTTGCTATCCCGGTAGCAGAGCGTCACGTAAGACGAGCATTCGAAAACCCGCCTAGTCATTCCGAAACAAGCTTTGCTGACCCTCGAAGAAGGCCGTGATGAGCTGGTTTAAATGGCTTATATGCCCAGGTTTATGACAATGTCGACCACTTGCGACAGACGCGTCTCATGGTGCATCAATTAAAGCTATTCTGACGGAAACTTCACACAAATTTAACTTGCATTCGGTCTAATTGCAGCACTTATTACTTGCGATCCCAACCAGTTCCCATTAACTATCAGACGAGACCAAACCAGCAGCAATGAGCAGCAGCAGTAGCAGTAACAGTGGCAGTGGCGGTGCCGGCGACGTGGTCCTCGTAACTGGCGGCAGCGGATTTCTGGGTCAGCACCTCATTAAGCAGCTGCTGGAGCGACGCAAGGAGCTGGGCATCAGGGAAGTCCGTTCGCTGGACATTGTGCCCTACAAGAACAACATCGGCCATCCGGAAACGTCCATACTGCGCACATTTGTGGGCGATATTGGCGTCGATCGCGAAAGCCTCGGCCCTATCTTCGCCGGAGTGGACGGGGTCTTCCACTGCGCGGCCTCAGTGAAGATCGAGTATCCCCCCAACTACGAGGAGCTGGACCGTGTGAATGTGAAGGGTAAGTGAGAGTCCGCTTGAGAGTGCCATCTCCAATCAACCACAATCAACCAATCTATCCCAGGCACCCTGGCCATTGTGGACCTGTGCATCCAGAATAATGTGAAGCGGTTGGTTTACACCAGCTGCACGTCCGTGTGTTTTGTGCCCTTCAAGGGCCGCAGCACCTTCTCGGCCGTCATTAATTCAACGGAATCCAAGACGGACACACCCACCTTGGACGGGGCCTCGCTCTGGGAGCAGGACAGCCAGTTCCTGATTGCAGGATACGCCTCGAGCAAGCTGCGGGGCGAGAACATCGTACTCAACTCCAACGGAGCCCCACTCCAGAACCAGCAGGGTGAGTCTTGGCTTGCTGTCTTAGCTGTCGTGGAGCGTCATTCATTTAAAACTCTCTGGCAGATTACTTGGCCACCTGTGCCATCCGTGCCCCGCTGACCTACGGGGAGTGTGACTCCCACTTTGTTACGAATACCTTTGAGTATCTGTCGAGGCGTGGCTGGGTATTCCCGCGCATTGCCGGAGTCGGGGGCAAACAGCAGCTGGTATACGCCGGCAACGTGGCCTGGGGCCACCTCTGTGCCTACAAGGCCCTTAAGGTGTCCAGCAAGGCGGTCAATGGCCTGCCAGTGTTCGTCACCGACGACACGGGCATCAACGACGTCTCCCGCTTCATCCAGAAGATGGCCCTGCTCGGCGAGCGGTTCAAGGTGAAGACCAGCTGGTGGTATGTGCCCCATTTCCTGTTCTTCTTCCTGGCCTTCCTGCTGGAGGTTGTGGTGCGCGTCGCCTATCCCTACACAAAATACCGCTTGCACTACTCTCCCCGGGCCATCGCCTCCTACACGTCCTCCATGCTGATGTACAACCGATTGCGCGCAGCGATACACATGGACTACATGCCACTGTTTGATGCCGACGCCAGCGCCGAGCGTAGTGCCAAGTGGTATGCCCGATGGTGGGACCAGAAGCAACAGGCCAGGCAGCAGCAGCTCAAGAAGTCCAGCTAAGATTTATAGATCCCTCGGATAATGTTGCTTACTGTGTAGTGGTATCTTCTTTTTTTTTTGCTGTTGTTTATGATTAAGTTACTTTCAACGTCTTGCACGGGATATCTGATATTGAAGGTTGATTTTTATGTAATGTACTGCCCCCCCGCTTGAGTTCAATAAACTGGTTATTGTTTGTTATTTCTGTGCGAGTCTTCTTTGTGGGAAATTTCTGGAAATTTCAAACTCCCCAAGTACAATCGCAGATCTCCACACCCCACCCCAAATAAATACACATGATCTCTTATGTTTTTGAACAATGTTCATATTTGTTTATTTATCATTATGAATTAATTTATTTATTTCTCAGTTATTTCATTATAATTTTTATTTCATATATATATATATATATTTGTTTGTCTTGGTTTTTTGTTTTTTTGTTGGTTGTTGTTTTATTTTTTTGTTGCTCTAGAGCGTTTCTTTGCCGTTGTTTTTTAAACTTATGTTCCATAGCTTAACTCTATGCCATTATTTAATTTCATTCTGTTTAAAATCATGTTTTAGTTTTCTGTTTATGTTTTCTGTTTTTGTGTGTGTGTGTGTGTGTGTGTGGGAGTGTGGTTCCATATGCGATTGCTGTTCGGCCGATCTTAACCTGCTCTTTCTCTGTCGCTCCTCTTACCTCTCTTGCCTTCCCTCTCTCGCCTCGCACCTAGCGCGCCCATCCCACCCAATCCGCGTACGTGGCACATGGTGAACAAAGTGATTCTTGTCATTTCTTTACCCTGCATATATGTATGTGAGTAGTGTGTACTGCTGGATCTCTATGTGGGTGAGATGCGGTGAGGTGTGGTGTGGTGTGGTATGGTGTGGTGTTCGTTCGTTCGGGTGTTTGCTAAAAACTTATGCAATTTCGCTGCCGTCCGAGTGGGTTCCTCCCTTTTCTTCTTTGGCGTGTATGTGTGGTGTCATCTGTTAATAAATGTAGATGGTGTGTAGATGTGGCTGATGTTGTGGCTGGGATGTTGGTGGTTGTGGTGGTGGTGGTGGTGGTGGCCGCATAGTTCTGCTCTGATCGGCTCTGATGCTCGAGGGTCCTTATTAATAATTGAATTTCTTTAACCACCAGCATGCGTATCCGCCAGTTGGTTTGTTCTGTTCGGTTCATCGAAGGCTTAACATTATTGAATTTAACTATATGTTTATTTGTTGTTCTTGGTTATATAACTATGTATATAATATATATATATATGTATATATATATATATATATCATTTTGTTTTATATGTATATACGGGACAGCGGGTGTCCTATGAAGGTTTTTATGCCTCTTCTTTTCGGTCTGTAGTAGTAAATATACAAATTCGTTACCGGATTTCTTAATAGAAATGAAAAAAATTGTTTATTAAATTCATGTTATGCTTCTATTTATGTGTATGTGTCATCATCATCATCATCATTATCATCCG